AAGGATGAGGAATGGCCCGGTCAGGGAATGGCAGAGGGAGGGAGAGAGGAGAGGAGAGAGAGAGAGAGAGTCTTCAGTAGGGATGCTCAAGAATCTTGAATTCAAACAATGAATCAAGTTCACGAGCTCCAGGTGCAAGGACGAGGCGAAGACGAGGAAAAGGAGAGCTAGGTGGGAGGGTGTGGGAATGTGGGGTGGCCGACTCCGGGGTTATATTCTTTCTCGTCTCAAGTTCCCACGATTGACGAGGGGGAGACCACACCCACACGAGCCTTCAACAGTCTTTACTAGACCTGCTCGAAAGTATGGGCCCCCGGGGGAAACCCAAGACGCGAAGCGTGACGCTATCTTTTAGGACATGGGGACGCTGGGCCTGGGGCGACATGGGATGCAAATGGGCACCTTTGGGGTTTGGGTCGTGGGTCGTGGGTCGTGGCTCCATCGGTCTTGGGGGGGTGGATGGATGGAGAAAGGGCAGGAGTGACAGGGATTTCCTGCGATGCAGAAGGTGCATCCACCGACGTCGCTGCCACGCTCTCCAGCAGGTCACTACATGGAACTGACTTGCTCAGCCTTGGTTGGTGCTGTTTCCAGGTTCCTTGGCTCTTGGCCTTTGGCCCTTGACCCTTGGAGGTGCCTGCCCCCTTTGGCCCGCTCTTTGGCACTTGCCGCCTGACTTCTTCTGATGGCTGAAGACGTGCTTTTGTTTGGCCGTTGACGTTCTGGATGTCTCGAGTCGTGGGGTCAGACGCTGGTCACCTGAAGGTCCCTGTGACGGTCTGACGTTGGCTTTTCACATGTCTGACAACAACATGACCCTCCAGTCGTCGTCGCCATTTCCACAAATTATTCTGGTCATATGGAGAAGAGAAACCCCCAAAACGCTGATCACCACTGTCCTGCACAATGCAATGTCCGTTTGGTGGGGGGGGGGGGGATCTGGTCTGTGGGGGGACGACGCCAGGCCAAGTCAATTCGAGAGAACGCACCTCAGGCCTTTCCAAACCCTCCGCATTCGTCCTGCACTATCCGCACTACCTCAGCCTTTCGCACACCCGGCCCAGCCTGGGGAGACGACGCGGATGACTCGAAAGAAAAGTGGCTGACACATTGCAGACGGCCAGTACCTAATCGTGACCTCACGACAACAGGCACTATATGTGCCTTCCAGGTGGGTTTTACCTAAAGCACATTGCCATTTCGAAGAACTTCAAAAAAAGACTTCGTACCCCCTACTCCCGAAATCTTCTGCCGCACCAAGCCGACCTCTCGGCACCTCTCACCGAGCGACGGCCCTCGCATTCACCGCACCTGGCAGCTCCAGTCCTGGCAATGGAAAGCGGCAAAAGCACAGAGCAACGCAAAGCCACCCAGCAAACAGGCTGCGACTGCCAGCGCGCGCCAGCCCCGATCCAGGAAGGCTGGCCCTGTCGCTGTTCTCAAGTTTGTGTGGAGCAGCCAATCACCGCCCACAGGCCCCCGGTCCCCGTCACGAGTCAAGGGCTCTGTCAAGGGGTGTGTGTCGCTGGCTTACCTCGTCGAGTTTTTGGTCGGCCACTTCTACGAAAAAAACACACCGCGATCACGAGGGCTCCTCAGGAATTTTCTGGCACTACTCAAGTAGTGAACGGGTTCTTTTCTAGCTGGACCCCTTGATGCTCCACGCCCTGGCGCCCTCGCTCGAGCGGTCGTCGTTAAGCCCGACCAGACCTCGAAAACCATCACGGTGTGTCATCGACTTGAGGGGCCAATTAAGCGATCGAGACATGCTCCCATTCGTCCATTCATCTTTGCTCTTCTGACAGATCAGACTCGATGTCACAGTGTGACGACAAGACAAAATTCTTGGGTCAGATCATGACAAGGCCTCTACGCACAGAGAATGGCGGTTCATTGGCCTTCCCACGGAAATCACCCACGGGATCCTCTCCCTCCCCTCCCACGGGATTCGAGTCCCCCCATTTCCCCTCCAAAATCTCGATCGCGTTTGTAAAATGCGGACTGCCCCTCCTGGCCCAGTTCATCCTCCAACAAGAAGGCACACACGCACATAGCTCCTGTGCCCCTCGAGGTCCCGCAGGCCCGCCCCTTGGTCCGAAAGAGGCAGCCCCTAGCCCCGCCGCCCAATCACGCCCCCCGTCCCTCCCCATCGGCGAGAGTCGGGAGGAGCCCGCCCAGGCTTCTCGCATTGCGACTTTCTCTGGGCCGCGAGTGGAGACGCCGCGATGCCCTCATTACAATTTCGAGCCCGCTGGATGGCTGCTTTGGATGGCGCTCGCTGTGCTGCCCGTCTCTCTCGCCGGGGGTGATACCGGGGGGGTGGTATTCCCCAGCGTATATCCACACTTTTCTCCCCCCAGCGGGGTGCTTTGCAAGTGCCATGCGGTGTGTCAGGGGGTGATTGTCACGGGCAGGCGCCATCATCATCGTTGACCCTGGTTGGGGGTCCGTTT